CCAGGGTTCAGCCTGTCAGCAATGAATAAAAACATATCCTTGAAAAATGTAACTGGGTGGTTGAAGCCCCTATTTACAGTATTTTATTTCTATTTTTTTTCTTATTTTTCAGAGAAAATGCCCATGTGATTTCTGTTATCATTTACTGTATTTTTCTTTATTGTTTTAAATGAAATATTGATTAAACTGAATGCCAACATTTTACTGCATTTTTATTAGAAGAGTATGCAAACATATTTGCATAGTGCAGTATACATAATTATGCACATAGTTTGCCCAGCTTGTTGTACATTGTGCTTCTGGCACACCAGAGTGTCCCTTAATTGATAGTTCAAAAATTGGCAACGCTAGTTGCCAAATGATGTAATTTGATGGTCAACTGGTTCCTAGCAAAATGTCTTGGAAAAGGAAATACAATATTACAAATCAAATGTAACAATGACTAAGTAAGCTGAGGATTTTTTTCTCTTCTGAGAGAAGGCTACTGCTGGTTTTGTTCTTCTGATTTGACAAAAGAGTACACACAGTCTGCGTAGTCACTCTTCTTCTTTTTTCCTTCTCTTATCTTCCTTGTAGAGAAATCCAACGGTGCATAGTTAACATCTTTTTCTTCTCCATCCTACAGAAATATATTTGTTAATAAAAAAATATTTTAGATTTTCTTTATTGTAGCTATATTATCAACTCAGCAGTCAGAAATACAGCATATATGCAGACTAGATGATCACATAAGGCAGAAGGGGACTGAAGACCTGCTCTGGCAACAGTAAAGCAGAGAACAGCACATTAACAGCAGCTCAAATTTTGCTAGATTTGGAGAGAGCTCAATCTTTCGTCTTTTATATGTTAGAATGGGCTAGCAGCTTTATGTGCTCTTGTCAAATATCATGTGTCGTGTGTGGAAACTTTTCTTCTGGGCTGCTGTTCTGTGTTTTTTGTAGTGAAAATGTAGCTTACTTATGTTTTGGAAAAACAATTACAAAAACAATTAGGAAAAACAAAAATTAATATTTACCAAATCATTTGTCGGATTTGCAACTGACTTGTTATGTCCCAGATGATGAGAAACACTTGTTGCTCCTGTTAATAAAATCAAAGGCTGCATATCAGTCTGTAATAGTTTTCATTCTCTAAGAAAAAAAATGAACAAATATTTTTTTAAATATTTTTTTACCCTGGTGTATAATGTATGCACATGTTATGCTGAGGAGAGCTGTGAAAGAGTTTTGCTCAAGGGCATCTGGATTAATGAACCTGTGGTTGTAACTTAGCCAAGGACATCCAGGTTGGCAGTAAATCTCTAAACTTTTAACAACATTTATGAAATAATGGAGCCTAATAATTGATTTTGAGAATTAGTTTTACTATTAAAAAACAGAATTTAAATAAAAAAATATTACTGCAGTAGAATCATATTAATATATTCTAGATATATATGCAAATAATATAAATGTGAATCTATAATTAACCTTTGAAATGACAATAAGTCATGCAGGAAATGAGGACGATGATTACAGTCACACAGCAGATCAACAGTCCTCCAAGAGTAAGAATCAATGGGTCCACTTCAGTTCCTGGAAGAAGAGAAATGTAATGGTAATGCTAAATTGCTTAACCTTTTGTTTCCTTCCTCAGAATCTTACCTTTGTAGACAGACAAAACACATTTTTTTGGCAGAAAGCTGAGTATAATAATATTTGATGAATTTCTGTACAGGGAGT